ATGCCGAGACCTCTGACCTAGGATGGCCTAGTAAGTAAAAGTCATTAACCCCTTCATCTACCCGAGTCGACCAACATTGGGCTGTGGAAGGGCACTGTAGGGTCTCTGACCCCGTCTCCCGTCTTGGGAATTGTATTAGGGATAATGGAAAGGAAAATGGAAACTACTATAGTATATTGGAGTTATATAGGGGTAATGGAAACAAAACTGGAAACTTCTACAGTATATTGGGATTGGGATTATGTGGTGGTAATAGAAAAGAAAATGGAAAATTAATATAGTATATCGGGGTTATATAGGGATTAAGAAAATGGAAACTACTATGTAGAGATTATACAAAAGCCTCCATTTCCAGGGCGGGTTTGCCATGAAAAGCTCAGCACTCAATCTGCAGCGGATGTTTGCAACGTCAAGATGCTAAAAAAATGCGGTCTTGCTGCTCCCCATGGTTTCGGCTGAGGCCAAAAAACTCCAGAGAGCCCTGAATCTGAAAACTGGAGCCCTGACACCAAAAAAAAGCACAAAACCTCAAGACACCACGAACTCAAGTCCTAAACCCCGAAACCTTGCAAGCACCAGGTTGCTGCTAAGTAACTTAAATTACGTTACCATAGTATGGGTATGTAGTAGATATTAAGAATTAAGGTTTCCTTATTACAGCAGCCCTAAAACCCTAAACCCTAAATACTAGGGTTTCCTTGTTACAGTGAATTATAAACTTTCCTGAACAACAACCCAGAAAGACCTACATGCCGAAGTCTGCAAAGCCCGAAGGCCTCACGGCGCTGGGATACCGCTCTGCCTTCCTACGCCGAGGGGTCCAGGCATGAAAGGATGGCATTTACATGGATTCAGGCTGTAGTTTTTAGGATTGAGGGTGTAGTTTGTAAGGTTTAGGGTGTAGTTTTTAGGGTTGAGGGTGTAGTTTGTAGGGTTTTATGGTGTGGTTTTTAGGGTTTAGGATGCAGTTTGTGGGGTTTAGGGTCTAGCATCTAGTTTGTAGGGTTCAAGGTGTAGTTTTAAGGGTTTAGGGTTGAAGGTTTAGTGTGTAAGGGCTGCATGGGTGGATACACATCACGTGTAACTGCAACTATGATACAAGTATTACTGACTTCGGGGCAATTATGCGTATGTGACAAGTACCATGAACCTCGAACCAGGCGTAGGTTTGGGGGCCGTGTTCAAGATGAGTTCAGGGTTACTTCCTGGTTGTTAATACTATTAACCCTAAACCCTGAACCCCAAACTCCAAGCCCCTAAACCCTGAACCCTGAACGCCAATCCCTAAATCCTAAAACCTAGGCATGGAACAGGGGATCCCAATGTTCTCCCAAGAATGTGAGAATATCCACTTTGTTTTCCTGGCTTCCCTACTAAGAACCTGGGAGATTAGGGTGCAGAGCTTAAGGGGTGAGCTCCCGACTATCTGGGGATGCGGAAGGGTTTAGGGTTCAGGATTTAGGTTTGGGGTTATTTGCTGGCGGCTAGTCGGGCTATAGGAATCCTTTATCTTCGGGGTCATATAGGAATTATATTCCCTAATTCCACACTAAGCACCAGTAAATTAGGGCTTCATGTGGAACCCCCCGAGCTGGGAACTAGAAGCTATAGCCCCCCTTAAGTAGATAGAATATGGGGTATATGGGGACCCTATTATAATATACCCAAAGCCATATTCTATCTACTTAAGGGGGACTATGAGCTTGTAACAAAGCTTCGAGCGAAGAGAAAAAACGATGGACTTGCCTGGTAACAGGGCCAAGCAGGTGGTCTGCCAAAATCTTCTGCAGCGGCCCTGATGCTGTATAATCCTACGTACACACAATACTAAAGAAGAGGATTCCTGAGATGTTTGCCCCCCCCTGAAACCTGACCTCTTATAATTGATGGGACCCATGCATTTGCGGCCTCGCACTGCTCCAAGTATGTTCGGCACAGCGGCTTTTGCATGCATTGCATGCACTGCACCATCCGAACGCAGCCTTGCCGAACTTTGCCCCTGATCTTTCGCAGAGGAGTCACACATTAGTCAAATCTTATCATTAAACTCATCGGCATCATGCCGAATAAAAAAGACACAGTCTCAGACATTTTGCATATGGGAGGTGCAGCACTGGGCTTCACCTCCCGGCCGGAAAAAAGCACGCCGTCTTTGGGCGCGCACCAGCTGGGGCGCGATTGTACTTCTAAGGCTCTCGAAGAAAAACCTTGAAGAGATGCACATCCCAAGCTTGAGTATTAGTAGCCATCGACTAAATGGACCTACCCTTTTCGGTAGGTAAGCATGCAGTCAAAAGTGTTGGAAGAGGACGACTGCTGCTCCCGCTCGCTGCCATGAACTCCTTAAATTTGGTTTCTCAGGGTCTTAGGGGCTTCAGGGGTTCAAGTGATTTTAGGGCTTGAGAGGTTCAGGAGTTTTGGTGGTTTTCCGGGCAGGGGTTCCAAGACTTATCAATGTTCCCAGCACTCAAAACTTTGTTCCAACCTTGACATTGGGTTTCCTAGCCCTATACGAAAAAAACTTCAACCATCCATTTGCTCGAAGCCCACTTTAGTCCCTTGGGTTTTGGGTCATCACTGAAAACCGTGCCCTGTGTACTGCCCCCACCCGTCGACAGTCTTTCATTGGAAAATCACTAGCAGCTCAATACAACGAGAATTATTGTAACAGTAATCGTAATATAACTATTATCCAGCTGTGAATGTGGGGGAAACACCCAAACAACATTTTCAGATCGAGAAAAAATCACGCAAACCTAGCTGGCTACAAAGGAAAGCAAGACAGACCTTGACGGCCAAGAACGCCTGAATGGTGAATTTGCCTTACTTGGAGATTCATGAGTAATTCCAATTGAGTTATACAGGGGTCTTTAGGGAATGTTGGTGTATAAAATAAAGCGGTGTATTGAGGTGTTTTGAGGTATAAACTAGCGTATGACTGTACTTTATCCAATTAAATGTCCACTTGTAACTTCCCATGGGCCTGAAAGTATGCTCTACTATGACTCTCAAGTTGGTTTGAGCACTTCTCCAGAATAGACTATTTTTGTGTGCTTTAACTGGCGGAGAATATGTGTGCACCCCAAAAAAGACCCCACATTCGAAGAAAAACCGTTACCTGCAAATGTCCTTGCTGAATTTTATGGAGCCCTGAAGCCTGCACCCTTAGGGATGCGGAACTCCCTAGGCCTAAAAAACCCTAAGCCCCAAAACTCTAAACCCCCAAACCGGGTTGTGGATCTCCCTGGGCACTGAAAGCCCAAGGATCTGCAATCAGCTTCGCGTTCTCACGCACAGCGTACTCGCCCTGCGCTGCCAGGAGGTTTACCTGCAAGGCGCTTGAAGGTCTGGGGCTTCCGCAACCCCCAAACGGGTTATGATAGGGTATATATAGGGGTTATTCATAGGGATAATGGAAAAGAAAATGGAAACTACTATTTCGGGACAAGGCTCTAGCGTCCCCGTAAAGCCTTCAACAACCCCCATTGTAATCTGCATATAAGACCCAAGGAACCCCAAAGGGGATCTGTTTTTCAGAGACCAACAAGGGGTCTGGGATTAGGATTGACAATTTAAGTTGGAAGGCTCAGGATGTAGAATTCGAGGTTTAGGCGACGTAAGCTCCAGGATATGGGGGTCATGGCTTACGGGCATTCCGTACTCCTTGGAGATGGGAAAATTTCACGGAAATGGGTCGATCAAAACTGATCTTAACATCCCCGAAGAATTGGGCGCGTGTCAGCTTGGCTTACCCCTGCTTTTGAACTTCTCAGGCAGCCACCCCAATCGGACAAACTACCTACTGGAACAACTGGGGTCGTCACCGCCTCATCCCGATGCAAGAACCTCACTCCTAATATCAAATCGGCCTCATCATCAATCAAACCCCAAAATTTAGGGTTTGAGGTTTAAGGTAAAGAGACAAAGGATAATCAAGCAGTAGTGAACTACTTACTTACGTTACCTAGATGCTACACCCTAAGAAAGGTTGCCTGAAGTGAAGGTGAGCAAAAACAGGGAACTGTGAGATCCTCTTTCTCAGCATCAGGGCCCCCTCGGGAAACCCTCTCTCGTTCTACTGACCAGCCGTAATTGATCAACATCTTGAAAAAGACATATACAAATGCGAGTCAACAGCTTCACCACCGCAAGTAGAGTCTAAATCGACAACATAACACCCGGAATTTGACACACAACCCTTGACATCAAATTTCTCACGGCTTGAATTTTTACCCGAAACCGAGCGTCCTATATGGAGATCTCCCAGAGTGGGGGGAGCCCCAACGAGAGACCCCAATATAGTATAGCCCTTACTATAGGTGCCTCAAAACGGGACCTCTAATTTTGGGCAACCCCCACATCTTAAACCCGCCAGGGCCTCATCAAGCACAACAAAACCCCTGCAAAGCCTTCCCTTTTGTGTTGAGGGTTTGAGGGTGCTCTTTTTCGGGGTTGTGAAAAGATAGTAAGAGAGGCGTATTATAGAGTCGTAATAAGCACTACAGGGGGACCTTTCATTTTACCTCAGAAGGGTCCCAAAAAAAGCACCAAGTAGGGTTGTAGCCACGCCTGAGGCGCAGTGTACCCTAAGGTATCGCCAGGGTTGTTTCCCGTGGTCGCCTCGCTTCTCCCAGGACCCTAAACCCCAAGCCCTA